TGAAATAATGAGATAGCAAATAATGATATAAAAATATGTAGAGCAATGTAGTGCATATGAATCATCATTATTTTTCGAGAATGAGCAAGAAGAAAAATAACGTCGGCGGCAACAAGGAGGAAGAAAAATCGATAGGATACGACAGAAGAAGAAACTTGGCCTTTTTTCTACTGCGGCGCAATAATTTAAGCTACACTTGACATGTTTTTATTTTATCCTTTTTTTTGCTTTTGCAATGAGTTTGATAGAAATGAAGGAAATATCATTTTTAAATATAATTGGTGGATAACTTTGGTTGCTATTTATTATATCAGATTGAAATTAAGCTGATATTAATTACGTCCATCAATTTGTTGATTGCATGTGATATTTATCATCTTGTTTTTGTATGAGCTACTCATTTTATATCGATGCAAGATGTGTGAAAAATAATATTTTTATGGCTTTATATTATTACGACTTATATAGTCATTTGGTTTATTTCAAAAAAATTACGATTTTGTTCATCTGATTCGAGGATTCTGTGTGACATTCGACATATACTGAAAATAAAAAAGGAGAAAAATTTATTGACTTTACTGAACAAGAAAAGAGCAGAAGCAACACGATATACGTGTTTTATACACTTGGAAACGAAAGTCTTCGTAAAGATCACACTAAATACGAATGTGTGATACGAACGAGAGTGGCAAAGAAAAAAAAAGATCATCAAATATTCATAATGAATAGCCAAAAGCAATAAATTAAAACACATTGCACATATTGCTACTCAAATAGTCAGATTGTGTATTTCTCAAAAAAAATATATATAAATTTTTGGAATATTAAATATTTTTCTCGGATTTGCATGTCCGAGCTTTTTTTCGCAACACTTATTTGTAAAATGTGCTTTATCAAATCAAATTAAGCATTACATACTTATGAGGAAGTTTTAAGTTTGGATTTTTGGTTTCTTTATTTCTATCAGAAAAAAAATCATTGTCAAACAAAATATTGTCGCTATCTGTTTTCGTTCGCTTTGTCAACAATCCGCGCTTAGTGTGAGCCGAACCAAAACAAAAAAAAAATTATACTTGTATAAGTCTTAGTATAAGCAAATAAGATAATTTTTGCAAAAATCATAAAACGTGTTTTTTGTGTCTTCAAAATGTCGCTTGCGGACACTTTAGATGTTCTCATTTAAAGACGACACAGAGAGAAAAATGTAAAAAAACAGGCTAATAACAAGTCATTTATAACAGTTTAACTGCTAAGCACGAAATTGGCGAGTGAACAAATGTCTTTATAATCACTTAATGCTCCTTCCATAGTCAGATTTACGTTTATTTTATGATACAAAAATGGAATATTTTGAAATAACTTAGTTGAAAATAAACACATATTTTTTTTTACAAATATAGTCATAGTTTTCGATTATTCTAATGAATATTTAATTAACTTTTCTTTCATTTACTCATTTTCAATATTTTTCACGTGTCACATTGAAACTATGTATGTGATTTTCACAGTTTTAACATAACTCAGACGATGGCAACTCAATTTTGTATCCTATTGAAGATGACGTTAATTAAAAGACTAAATATATTTATAATATTTAAACTTAAAACGATCAATTGCAATAATTTGTGTAGTGTTTACATATATGTCCTACACAAAAATGAAATAGAATCAGCTTCATTTTTAATGTAAAATATCTATTCTGTAACTATTGCTGTCACTGTCAGTGTTCAACTTGACAAATGCTGATTCGCCTGTCGATTGAAAGCGATGTTTATGCTAAAGATATATAAAAGGTAAAAATTCATAGCAATAAAAAAAGATGAAAAAAATTTGCATACAAAAGGCGAGACAGAAAAAGATTTTTACGAACAATTATGCAAATTTCATACTGTGCACATGCAAACGATACAATGCATTTAACATTATTATGAAACCAAGAGCCTTTCTTTAAATTTGCTGACAAAACATAAGTTGAACAATAAATAAACAAATTATTGCTTGCTCTCTTGATGACATGTATATATGAATTAATGCTAAGTGGTGTTTGATATTTAATAAATGAACTTTGAATAATGGGTGTGATTTTTAAGATAAATGTCATTTGACATATAAAATAATGAACTTGTTATAAGAATTTTCTATAAGTTTTAGAGCTATGATAGCTCAGCTATCTATTGAAGTTTTGTTAATTAACAAACAAATAATTAATTCAGGTGTTTTGAGAAGATTTGCCTCCCCAATAACTTTTCTCATTGAAAGATGATTGTAATTTAATTGGTAATTTGTTGTTTAGTGCCGATGGCTCCTTGTTTGCTTGAAACAATTACTAAGGAATTAAATCATTCAATTAAAATGATTATTTTTCTTTCAGAGTAAATTGTTATTTGTAGATTGAATCCTTTGCATTTTTTTAAAAATCCTTTTAATAAATTTTAATAGTTTGAAAATGATTGTTGATGAAAAAAACGCAAATTTCTCTTCTTATCCAATCCATTCATCGTGAGCATACTTAAAACCATTAAATTTTGCCTAAGTTGCGATTTTTTTTAAAAAAAATATCATTTTTTGAGTGCATGCACCACAAATGCAATTTAAGTACCAATTCATCAAAATTGAAAAAATAATTTTTTGTTTGAAGTTTGCTTGCTTGGCGGTTTTGATTGTTTCTTTTTCTTCATAAAAAAGTTTCATTCTTTTCTCAATAAAAGAGAGAATTTTTTCAAGTTGAATAGCTGCATTGTTGTTCAATGTTTGGAGAATGATACTCGAATTTGTTAAAATAATAAAACATTGCGGTTTTTGTTCTCTTTTCTTTATTTTCTACTTCTTTCTGCTCTCACATTTATTTTAAAAATAAAAAAAAAGAAATGTTGTTTTGAAGAATATCAAACAAAATGCATTGGGTTGAATTTATAATTAAATTTTTTGACAGTGCATTCCAGTGTATTTTACGCAAAAAATATACATACTTAGAATGCAGATTAAAAACTAATATTGCTTATAAGATGCTTTCAAATGAGAAAAAAAATTTATTGCTTGCATGTTACAGCATAAAATAGGTGCAAAAAAGTCATCATAAAATGGTGCATTGCAAACACATTTAGACACACAATTCTTATGTGTCGATAAAAAGTGAAAAGGAAAATGCAAATTTAGCATGAAATTTTAAATTTTTTAAAACGAAATGTTCACTCATTCTATCATGCAGAACAATCTCTCGCGCTCCATCAACGACGATGAGAAAACAAGAAGATTTTTTTTGTATGAGGAAAAAGAAAAATAACATAATGCCGTTGAGAAGCAAACGAATTGCATGAGAAACACATGTTCATGAATTTATCTTTTTTTAACAAGCTATCAAAAATAAAATTTTTACATTTTTTTTTCACTAAAATTAAAAAAAGATTTACAAATAAATGGAAATTAAGAAAAATCTAATCAAGTTTATTCCATTGTATGTGTTGTGAATAGTTTACATAAAATTTGTAATTTTAATTGCCTTTAATTTATAATTTAAGTAAAAAATCTTAATGTCAAAACAATGAATTTATTGATGAAAGTATTTGATCAAATTTTAAAAACTTGAATGAAATAAAATGGAGCCGATTTTTTTTTTGTCAAACTAAAACACCGAAAACCACAAAAAAGGCCACAGAAGATTCACATTGATAAATTATTATAGGCTAAAAACATTGCAGCTTTGCCTTCATTTAACATTGAATCGTCGGAGAGTGGATAATAAAAGGCAAAGTGTGTTATAAGGTAGAAATTAAATGTACACAAGCTTAAATATTCAGGTGTACACATAGACAAAAGTGAAGATTGTATGAATTGAGAGTATTCAGAAGTAAAAAGTCAGGAGAGATGATGATAATGATAATAATAATAATAACAATACTAGTAATAACAATTTTAATTGCATACAACAGGTGCAAAAACATCATTTGTGGATCTGCTTGAGGGCTTTACTCAACTTGCATATGTAATCATTGTTTTAGTGAATCTAATCATCGACAGTGCCATGTGTTAGACATTTACAACTTTTATTTTCTCTTCTCTCTCATTCCACTCTCGATTATCGATTTTTTTCGTGTTCTGCTTCTTTTATAAAATAAAAAATATGCACCAAAATACAGCTGGAAATCAATATAAGAAATTTTATGCACCTTTCTCTGTAATTTTTGGCAGATGTTTAACTCAAGAATTAAACTTTTTTTTTATCTTGTCTTATTGATAAAAATATTAGAATTTAAAATATATTTTTAACTATTCACAATATTTTGCATTGTACTAATTGAAGTGCCTGCTGTTTTGGTCGTGGATGTTAAAGTGAAATTATATGCATATGAATTTTTATGCTTGAGCTACTCAATTATTCTAGTCATTCATGTTTATATAATTAAGTTAAAATAAAATGTAAAGAATAGTCCAGTAAGAGAAATGTAACAAAAGTTAAAAAAGAGGCAACATAGCATAGAATCTCATCAATTTTGATACAACTTTCATAACATATGCCATCAGGGAAAACAATTGCTTTTAACCTTGAGCAAAAATTACATGTATCATGTTAATATTATTGCTGAGTGTATTTTCTTCTTACTAAGTTTATATTTCCAAACCAGCGTGTGATATCAAATGAATATTAAATGCTTATTATATTTTACTTGAGCAGAAAAATAACGATTGTTCCGCTAAGCACTTTTTCCTTTGACTATTTCAATATTCAATATGCGGCATCGCACACACTTCATACACAATACATGAATATTCTTTATTGCCCGTGACTTTAGTTTAAATCACACCACTTTTGTTTGATTCCTTAATTAACACGACGAAGCATTTGAATAATTTATTAATATGCCGCCAAGTCGCGAAGAGTATAGATAGATATTCATTTACCTTAGGATTACTCACATAGTCTCATTGAAAGAATTTTCAGTCTTCTTACTCTCACAAAACGTAAGATTTTTCTTTTCTCTCCGTATTCATCAAGTTCCCGTGGAATTCTTTTCTTCCTTTAAAGTTTTGTTTAAACAATTCTATTGTCAGAATATTGAAAAAAAAAAGACTTAATGTTCTGTAAAAATTAAATCATGTCTATTCATAATGCTTTTAAAAAAATTGAAGCAGTTGTGTTCAAAATGTGTTCAAAATTTTTAAGGTTTTGTTTCGTTAACCGACAATTAATATATTTTGTAAATCATTAAATTAGGACATAAATGTAGAATTAAGTGACTTCCTTACTTGTCATATTAATTCTTGTATTTTACCATCATCATCTCATTCCCATCATCAACGAAGTAACAAAACTGCCTTTTTATTGATTTTCTCTCTTCCATCCTCTTTGATTATTCGCTTTCGATATTTGAAATGAAGGCTAATTGACGACTACCATGAAGAGGCAAAGTCAAAAGGAAGAAAAAAAAGAAGAAGATCAGTTGATTGAAAAAAAAAATTACTTTAATTTCAAATATGTTAATATTTAAGCTCCTCACCTTTTGTTGTGCTTGCGTGCTTGATATTAAAATCCATATAAAACTAAATTTATTATCACATAAATTTGTCATTTACGTATGGCGAGCTCTAAAAACACGTGAATAAATAAATAACAACAATAAAAACTTTGTTCTAATCTCTTTATGATTAGAATCTTCCAACACATTCATTCGTTTCATAAGTTCCAATATTTTTTTTTTCAAAATTGAAGCATTGAGGATATAAAGTCAATAATAGATTAAGTTTATGATTTTTGTTTAGATTTTTATGAGACCGCACTATAAATTAATGAAGGTATTATTATAGTAACTTTCGGCAGTAGGCAGTCAACTGTAGAATTCTTCATTAATAATTTACCTTTCGCTACTTACACGAGGGCGACATTCTAAGAGGCACTTAAGAAATGAGAATTTTGTTGTTGTCGTCTGTGCTATCATCATCAACAAACACTTTGTGACTCTCTTGTATTTACTTGCTCAGTTATTTATCAGTTGTTGTAGTTGTCGTGCTATGACGACGATGTTTTAAGATTATTTTACTTACGATGCGACGAAGTTATAATCGTATTTAAATCCCACTACAGCTGCTAGATGAGAAGATGATTATGGGTGTGGAACTCAGTGGCAACTTAATTGTGCATTTTAGATGACTACGTATCAAAAACGGATCAATAAATTTCTGCAGTATGCTTCTCACAATATCTACAATCGATTTCAATTTATCGTAGATGCTAATTTGCCAACTCTCTTAATTTTTAATAAATTTTCAATTATGCATATTATCAGTTCGCTGTTTATGCGAGTTGGTCCTTAATAAAAAATTTATATAAGCTTGTTAGTAGCTTATACACTTTTTGTCGATTTTTTTTTGTGTCGATACACATTTGTTGTTTATAGAGGTGAAATTTATTTTTAGACATTTTTTTTCTCACTCTCTATCCGCTTGACTTGCTTGGCGTGAGTTGAAAAAACATCATTTTTATAATACAAAATACATCAGCTCGTGTATTTTTTTTTTTTAAAAAATTAAAATGAAAAAATGCATTTCACTGTCAATGCATATATTCGTTGCTATAATTTAACTAAGCGATATCACTTAATTTATTTATATCACTTCCACACGAGTTATTTTGATTCAAATATTTTTATATTATGCTTTTTTTAACTAGTTTGGAAGTAAATAAAGGGATTTTTTCTAGTTGAATCAGTAATTTATTGGATTTTTTAAATTTGAAGCATGAAATATATTTTTGATGATTCAAAGTGAATTCGTGGTATAACCATATAATTTTCATACTTTACAATACTGGGTGAAGCGTCCAAAATTTTGAGCTAGAGGCATTGCGGTTATTCTTTCCCCATTTCTCAGTCTCGAAACGTTTCGAGGTTCAGTTTTGCTCTTAAGTCTTGCGAAGTATTGAAATTGAGAAATCTAGAAAGTCAATTTTGCGGTTTAATTATTAATGAATATTTTAAACTATACCTTTTAAAACTAATAGCTTATGAATGTGTTATTTTCAAAGCTTATGCAGATTTTTTTTGCAAAAAGCAATAGCTTTATATTAAGTTTTACAAAGGAAACAATTTTTTATATCACGCAAAATATTAAAACATGATAAATAAAGAGTTAAACAGTTTACTTCAACAGGTTCCAATAACCAAATTTTAAATGTCAGTTTACATAATTCAATTACAAACAAAAATATTAATTATCATTCACAGAAAATTCCAACACCAAACATTTGGGCCAGCAGTAAATAAATATTTTATGAATGGAAGGTTTTATGTTTGTAAGCATCGAGTAATGTTTTGTAAATATCGTTTGGACTGAGTTTACAAAAATTCTTTTATTATTCATTATCAGACGAAGTAGAATGAGAGAAAGATGGAAAAGGCAAAAAGGGGAAAATTCTTTTATTATTGCTACTTAAACATTACATGAGCATAAACAACAAATATAAACGTTTGGACTATTATTATTATTTTTTTTCATCAAGCACACTTTCTTTTACTTAAAAATACGCATTGCTGTTTATTTATATAGAAAATATTTTTGTTTAACATACTTTGCACTTTATTTGCTCCTTTATAATGAATTAAATAAAATCTATGGAAAATTATAAATCGAAAGTAAAAAAAAGCTCTTATGTGTAACATGTTGGCAAGTTCATGAGAACTTCTGTTCATTACAGCTTCAAGAATCACAAGAGAATAAAGTTAATTTCCACAAACAGTAAAAAAAGAAGAAAAAAATCTAAGAGAAAATTAAAAGAGTAAAAGTTAATCTAACGAATGGAAAAAAAGTTTTTCATTCTCAATATTCATATCTAACTTAGATAAATGAGAATAAACCAAAAGCAAATAGAAAGATATTAAAAAAAGTTATCTTTATCAGATTGAAGTTTTACTTTTGAGAAATTTTATCCAAGTTAGTAACAATTGTTATGGATATATTAAGGCAAGTTTACAAAATGTTTTTCGCTCGAAAATGTTCGTGATGTGTGTAGAAACCAAAGAATAAAAAAACCAGTACTTGATGGTTACGATGAAATGTAATTTAGTATGACAAATGATTTGTTGAACAAAGACTAAGCACATGACTACCCGCATTTTATGAAATAAAGAAAACACTGACTTCATTACTGCTTTAGATTTATTTGAATATTTGACGCTTATTTTCAAAAAATAAATGACGTTTTAAAATTTTGTGATTTGCGCATTTTGAGCATTTACTACCATTTGAGTTCAATTTTTTTCTGGTATTGTAATGCGAGTTTATTTTATTAATTTCTTTTGTAAATCTTGTCGTATTTTGCTTTGAAACTTTTCTTAAAAAGGTCAATATTTTTTAGATTAATCCTGATTATATACGTTGGTTTTCAATTTATGTCAAATGTCATTTTTCATCTTCTATATCTTCATCATGATAATAGAGCTTTATAAATACAACTCTCAGACTTCTTAAATAAGAAAGTTTATTCATTTGTCTTTTTGGAAATACACAATACAAAAGTGTTCTACCGCTGACATCTTTACTATTCGATTTTCACTCCAATAGACTAAGAATACTTATTCGATTAATTTAGAGATAGTAAAATTTTCATGTCGTGCTGCATGTGATAATAAATGATATCAAACGTGTTTCGGTAAAAAAGAGAAGAAACTTTTCAATTAGTAGCTTTTACTCAACTTTGCCTCTTCACGTTACATCGAGCAAATTCTTTCAATCTTCCATCTGACGCCATATAGCGCGTTTATTGTACAAATATAGTGCAGATTGTCTCCATGTCTTTATTTTCTTCCCATCTTTAATATATTTTCTTTAACTTATTCTACAACGAAAAAAGCATTTCTTCTTTTAGTTTTCGTATGCTTAACATCAGTGCTCTTTCTATAGCATCAAGTGGCAACACAATAAAGTTTTTAATTAAATTTTGCTATATAGGTATTTGAAACTTATGAGCTTAGAATAATAATAATAAAGAGAAATAGGAAAGGGAGTTAATGTAGATGGGGGAATAGAAAAATAAAGTTGACTTTATATTGTCATTCATTGTTGCTATTATTATTGACTATTGTTGATAAAGAAATCATTGGCCTGTGAAAAAAATTCACAACTTTTCTCTGTTAGAGTTTTAAACAACGTTTCTATATCCTGTGATTATATTATTTTTCTTATGAAGATATCTACAATAATTCTGTTATTTTTTGATTATCACATTTAAACTTTCAGAACTATCAATATGCGAAATGAGTGGAAGTGAGTCATTAGCTAGTTCATGATTTTGAGCTTCGATCAAATTTCGTATGAATGAGAGAGTTTTTTTTTTTTCATTTTTTAAATCAACTGCTGTACCTACCTTGCTTAAAAACTAGAAGTCCCTGTGAATGTAAAATTGTGTAATTGAATAATCCAGCAAAAAAAATAAAGTTAAACTTTTAAGTTTTATAAGCAATCATTAAGTTGTTGTGATCGTGATAATACCCACATATTATTGCAAATAATGGAAGCTGAGTAATACAAAAGAAAAAAAAAAACAACTTCGGCAATGTATAAGCGAATGATTTTTTTTTTTAGATCGGATTGAAAGATTATTATATCGCTTGGACGCTGACGTCACTTGCGAAGTTTAATTCTGTAGGAAAAAATGTGTATTTTATTTTCTGATCAACAGTTGATATTCTTCATCATTTATACTTAATTTTTACTACTGTATTGTGTGAAACGTGAATGAATACAATACTGAAAAAAGAAGACTAAATGTGTATACTGAGCCGTTGTTAATTACACAAGTGTGCCTATGTGACGCATTTTATTCTGTGGTTTAATTAAAAACAATCTGATAGGAAAAAATACGTTTAGCATATGCGAGCAAGAGAGCGAGATGAATAAAATTCAATTAATTCTCTCTATCAAGTTTATGAATAAAATCCAATGTGCATGTGCATGATGTGTATGCAAATGCATGGTTGTCATGGCCTAAAAACATATTTTGGCAGCTGATTCTCACTTTTTATGAAGAGATTTTGTTTCTATAACATTTTTTTACAATTGATGTTCTAATAAAATTTTGTGAGCTTATTAAAAGTGGATTATCAATTTGTTTGTTTCTGTTTTTTGTTTAATGAGAAGCGAAATTTTTTAAGTAAAATACAAAAAAAATGATAATATAATGTAAGAATCTAAAAGTGCAATTTTATAGTGCCGGATATTAAAATAATAAATGCGCATGATCTCAACAATGCCAATTTTTTTAATAGTTTTTTAGTCCTTTTTATATAAAAAGAACCGAACATGAAAAATTTCAATACTTGTTAATCTTTAATGTGTCTAATGCAGAAGTTCGACATGGAATATGTAGGTGAAAAGAGTGAATAGTTCTAAATATATACATATATATGCAATTTGCTGCAATTGAATGCAGGCAGATTATCCTCAATAGCCTGTTTTATGTATGAATTTTCTATTGGGATAAAAGGTTTAAGTTCATTCGTGTGCTATAATTAGCATGTCATTCTATTATGCAAACTTTTGTACACCTCCCTTTGTAGATTGAACAAAACGAGTGAGTACAGAAACAAATCTGATA